TAATTCAAAAATCGACGCCGGTCAGTCGATGTAGTTTCTTTTCCTCTTTTAAACAAAAAAAGAATGAACTCTCTACGACAAACCGCTATTAAAAATCTTGGGACGCACTTCAGGTGTAACTCTTATACAGCGAAGACGCTATGTTAAACGCTGTATGAAATAGTAGATTTTATGACTTCTAGGAAAATGCCTGTAACTTTTCGATGCAAGGTCATACAGAGTTGTGCGAAGTCTTATTTTGATCAGAAACGTTCGCTCTACAAATCTGTGTGTTTAGAAAAATTTTAATTGCATAAGTATCCAGGAAAAAATCATTATTTGAAGACCCGTCTTTTCGAGGCTCTTAGAAAACTTGCTCAAAATCCCGGAAAAACCACTTTTGTAACCAAAGCAATACAGATTCTGGAAGTAGACACTTTAGGCTATCTTTCCATGCGCGTATCTCAAAATCGATTTTTTGACCGAAAGTCACCATTTCTGAGGGGGTGGAGGGCCTTAAAAAATACAGTTGTAAGTCATTGTGAGTCATTAGTAACTATTAGTTCTGTGTTCCTATTTCCATAGCTCAACGTCTCTGATCAAATATATTTTTCGGTTTTAGATTTCCGTCATCATCAGCTGTTCAGCTACTAATTGATTCTGGTGGTATTGATGTCAATGCAGTAGATTCAAGAAAAAATAGTCCACTACATTTAATTGCGTCGTATGATCAAATCATTGAAAATACCGATGAACGTTTTCTTACTATTCAGTTAATCATAAAATTATTTAATGACACCGGATGTCATTCGGATTTACCAAATGAAGATGGCAATACACCAATTCAATGTGCACATTCTGATATTATAAAAATATTTATGAAAAGTAGACAGAGATTAAGTCTAAAATGTTTAATGGCAAAAATGATCAAAAATTCAGAAATCGATTATTATCAACATTTGCCAGAGAGATTATGCATTTTTGTTGAATTACATTGAATCTTTCCTGATCATCATAACAAAGTACAAACGGCACGTATACGAAAAATTAAAGTCGGTTCTTTCCATCACAGCTTTAATCTTTATTTGCCTTTAGTGTTTGTTATTTTGTAGATAAATAAAAACTATGTAAATACCAAAGTTATTGTGCGTTGTACAGCAAGAAATTCTTCATCTTTTGAGCTAGAATGGATTCTAGAACCCATGCTTCAGTGCCCAAAAAACTCAAAACCAAAGTGGTCCATTTTATCTGGTATACCTGTTGGAAACATAAGAAGGCTAAAGCAACTGAAAAGATGCCATGCTACAATCCATAAATAAGCGGTGTGTGCAAAACTCAGAGGGTTTGCTGATGGTTTAGGAAACGTATTGATCGACCTAGAAAAAAATTTGCCTCAGTTTTACGTAACAAAACTTGATCTGATTGATTCTACTTTCTTCATCTTCTACTTTCTGAATTTCTCTAAATATGAAGACAAAAGTTAAACTTCGATACTACGTAAAAGTATTTTTAGCGACTGCAAAACGATTATCAATGACTCTAAAAATGAAAAGGTCCCGTTGCTTGTTGGTTGTTTGATGATATATTTCATCGTTCAGATTCTTTTCACCCTCACGATATATGCTCATAGAACGACTGACTTCTCATTTGAATGACAAAATATAAAAACGAACAATTGCAACAAAGAACGGCAGCAAAGAAATTCAGGCAATAGAAGAAAATGAAAATTTAATTAGATGATATTTTATGCCATAAAATAAACAATATTTTTCCAAAGTTGATCTGTCTCTGCCGCTCTCACATCTGTCTATACTCATTTTGCTTTATATTAAAATTTACTTGATATGCTTTGCACATACCTAACAAGAAAAGTTATTCCGCAACATCGTGGCTGAATATCATGACCCGGATCTATAGACTAATGTTAAGAAGAAAAATATTAAAAAACTAATATTAAAACCAACTGAATAATTTTCCGCCTTATTAGTCCGTTCAATATTTTTTTTTATTTAAATATTTTTCCTTTATTTTGAAGTAATTAAATATTTTTCTATACTGTGCGAAAAACTTTAATATTTTTCTATCCGGTTTATCTCATTCTGAATGAAGTAATGTCGCAGTTTGAACTTACCAAGAAGATATGAATATGCGGACGGGACGTCCCGTCCGCATATTCGTATCTTCTTGGTGCTTGGTCGTATATTCTTGGAATTATGCGCATTTATCATTTACTCTTACCCCAAACACTGTACAGAGTTGAGCCTAGAGACTAAAAGATAGTAAACTTAATTTCTGATATTTTTTACTCGGAAGCTGAACCCCGAAAACCCTTTCTTTAGGGTGAAGATCCCTCTTTAAACTTTATTTTCCGTTTTTCACCATAAAGGAAATGTTTTCTAAGGTCGGACTGAGCAAAAAACTGTCAAAAATTAAGTTTATTATCGATTAGTATCTAGGCTCAATTCTTTACAGCGTTTGTGGAAAAAACTAGAGGGGCTAATTAATGAAAATCACTAGTATTTTGAAATTCAAAGTGAAAACTAAAACCAGAAGGAACAAACACATATATATTTGTATAGTCGTGTGATGTAGTGGATAGCATCACAGACTTCTGACCTACAGGTTCAAGGTTCGAATCTCTGCACGAGCTGTTTCGTACTTTTTCTTCGTTGCATTTCTTATCTCATAAATAGTCTTAAAATGAGCTAAACATGATCTAAATAGGATCATATTTTGATGACCATAATAAGATGATATTTATCCCATAAAAAAATGACATAATTATCACTACATTATGATACAATAAATGAGATGACTAAGGGATAAATGTGATTCAAAAATGAGCCATACATGGCATATAAATGAGTCATTTATGGCTCATTTTTTATCTCATTTTTCATGGCCTGGGAATAAATTGACAATTTCGAATGAATCTATTCTTTAATGTAAAAGAAATATGTCGACAAACTTTGCATTGATTCATAGCAGCGTGGCGTAGTGGAAGCGTGCTGGGCTCATAACTCAGAGGTCGGTAGATCGCGATCTACCAACCAAACTGTTAGAATCACTATAGATTTTTCCTTGAACTACTTCCCAAAATACAGTGCTGGTAGGCAGTTTTTGCATAGTTTTTGACGAAAATGAGATAGAGACCGGCGGTTTTTGCTGTT